CCCGGAGGCGGGCAGCCGGCGGGGACAGTCCGCGGCAGCGGCGGCGGCGGCCAGCGCGACCGTCACTTACGAAACGTGCTGGGGCTACTACGACGTGAGCGGCCAGTACGACAAAGAGTTCGAGTGTAACAACAGCGAGAGCGGCTACCTGTACTGCTGCGGCACCTGCTACTATCGCTTCTGCTGCAAGAAGCGCCACGAGAAGCTGGACCAACGCCAGTGTACCAACTACCAAAGCCCGGTATGGGTGCAGACGCCCAGCACCAAGGTGGTGTCGCCGGGGCCCGAGAACAAGTATGACCCGGAGAAGGACAAGACCAACTTCACCGTCTACATCACCTGCGGGGTGATCGCCTTCGTCATCGTAGCAGGCGTCTTCGCCAAGGTCTCCTATGACAAGGCCCACCGCCCCCCGCGAGAGATGAACATCCACAGGTGAGAGGCGCTTCTGGGTGCCCGCCTTGGGTCCCCAGGCCTCGCCCCCTCTTAACATACCCCCACCCCCACCCTGTCCAGTTTTCTTCACGCACACCTCTTCTATCCTTCTAAGTCACTTCCACAGCCGCTTCCTTTAAGAGCTATCAGTGTTGTGGCCCTCCGCATTCCCTAGGAAGCAGCTAGGCATGCTTTAGTGTTAGAGGGATTTGCAACACAAAGTACGAATCAGTGAAGTTCAAGATGTTCAAGGGTAAGAATTCCACTAATTTTCCAATCTCCAGGCTTTCTTTTTCATGGCGTGTGGCAACTTTACTATGGGTTGTACCAGGCTTAGGTTTTTGTTTGCTTGTTTTGTTTGTTTGTTTGCTTTTGTTTTGTTTTTTTTTTTTTAAAACGGGAGTGTCAGCTTAATATAAAGAACTGAACAGTGTGAGCACTTCACTGAAAAGAAGAGCAAGTGGATTAGTGAAAGCTGGGATGTCCAGGGGTTAAGAGTGGAATAGATATGAAATGGGTGTCTGCCTCTGCTGGGAAGAAGGTACCCCATGTCGTGTTACCAGCACAGATGTTATGTCTTCCAGTGGGGTGCTTAGCTTTCCTGCCGAGGCTGGAGGACTTGTTCCTCCAAGGCAGGCCTCTGGGAGTTAACACTTTGGATGGTGTTCAGCCCGGTTGGACATCTTTTACTGCACACATAGTAAAGACACTGGGGACTATCCCCTTCTAAAACTGATAACAGGAGCTTAAAACATGACAGTCCATAGTCCCACCGCGATTGCTTTCCACCCCGTCTCTGGCTCCCAAGGAGATCACTGGAAAGTCAAAGCCACAACGGGAACCCAATCTCTCCTGTAGGAATTATACAGGCAGAGGATGAGAAGTACAGCTATGTTTCCAGTGTCCCCACGAAGATGAATGGTTGGATGTGGCTTCAATGAAAGCCCTGCCCCAGGAAACACTTCCATTTCTACTGCCCTAGTTCCCAGGCCCAGCCCCCAGTCCACTGCTTGTGAGCTGGCCCACCAAGCCTGCCTTGGCCCATGCACCTTGCTTATTATCCTCTTGACTTGAAAACCTCCTTCCTTCGCTGCTCTGAACATCAATCACCCCTACCTTGCTGAAAAGAGGAAGGCAGGTAGAAATTTCTAGGCTTGCTAAAGGAGCTGATTTTGCCCCTCCCCCTCTATAATGTGGGTGTGAAAACATGATATTGCCTGTCAGGTTTTATTGACTCAAATCTACTAAATACAGACATTCCACACTCAAGTACTAGGCTTGGGTTGACTGTCGAGGGAGTGAGCATCGCTTTTTAACCCCTCACTGCCCGAGCTAGTCATTCATCCTTTAGCTGCTGTCAGCATTGGTTTACTCTACATCCCTTTGGTCTTGAACCAGGATTTTGAGCAATGGTCTGGGGTCTCCACTCCTTACTATGCAAAGGATGGGCACCGTGAACAAAGCAAGAGCAAGGCATCACCACTCCCTAGGAGTTTGTTTGGTCTGACAGCGAATTCTGTCTTGACACAGCTTGGAAAGCCAAGAAGGAGTTGCTTAGAGGCTGGGGTCTTTCTGAAGCAGATGTGCTGTTGTTCCTCGTCTGGCCCAGGACTCTTCTTCCCTCCTTTTGCCCCATTAAAACCATTCTCTTACCTCTTTTGAGTAAGCTTTCTTGGGGTTTCTCCCTGCCCTGCCCCCAGTGCCTTGTGCAGTTTGTTCAACATCACCTGTGTTTGATAAGTTTATGTGGCCTCCGAGTCTGAGATTAAGCCCCCATGAAAACCGAAATTGCCATGTGGCTCTGCAGAAGTCACTCTCTTTGATATTAGTCTCTTCTGCCACCCCCACAACAGACTCCCTCTGTCCCACATTGGGGTAACCATGGGGGCTGCTTCTGGGGTGGGAGAAGGAGAGAGTGAACTGAATTTTAGGCCCCAAGCCGTTGTGGAAGTGTGGGATGTCTCTCCCTCAGATTCACCTCCTGATTTCATTCAGTTCACAGCACCACTCTGACAGCCGCAGCCTCACCTGCTCCGTGCCTTAGACACCATCGTCCTGGTGCGGGGTGGATAAAGGACAATGCCTGTCAGTGTATGTGCGGCAGGTGGGGGCAGGGGTGGAGACCAGAGGTGAGTGACACCCACAGTGATGGGTGACACTCAAGGACACTCGGGAGTAACCTTGAGCAGGCCAGGGAAAGTCTTTCGGTTCTGAGCAACTGGCAAGATAGCATAGCATCTGGACCTCTTCTTCTCAAGTGTGTCTATGTGAGTGCCCACGTCACTCTCATGCCCCTCTGGGTGGGCGTGGGAGGAGAGCGCCTCTTTCTCTGCTTGTACCTCACATGTCACGGCTTGCCACCCCTGGGTGGGGCGGTTGTGTAGTCTGTATTGTTAGAGAGGCAAGGTAGGGAAAGGGGGCGGTGATGGAGGAGAGATGCAGGCACACAGTAACGAGTTCTTCCTAGGGCAAGTGGGGAGAAACAGAGGTCCAGTCGGGAGCTAGGGTGTGCTTTCTGAAATAGTGCAGCCAAGATGTGTCCATACTGAATGGGAGAACAGAGCTGGTGCAGTATGCGAGCCTCCCTGAAGACAGGCAGACCTGAGTCCTTTCCTTCCCCGGGGCAAGCTTCCTGAGTCTGAGGGAGTTTCAGTGTGGGAAAGCTTCATTGTAAAGGGATACTGTGGGAGTTTAAGAAGAGATGGAAGACGGGATTGGCCATATGCTCTGCCTTGGTGTTCGCAGGCTGGGCAGCCCTCTGTCTGCCACACACATGCGTATTCCTTAGGACTGGACTTTCTTGCATCTCTCCCTCCCTTGCAGGGAAGAGCAGATTTTGCTTTTTCTAGAAGTGGTTAGCCCTTGCTAGAGGATTCAGAATGAGAAGTTGGTTGTCTGGAGGGGAAATAGCCAGCTCTCTGGTGATTCTAACAGACAGCCCAGTGGAAATGATGCAAATACCCAAACCTAGCAAGATGGGCTCTGAGGAGGAGAAAGGGATGCTAGCTCTGAGTGGGGGTGTTCCAACTTTCCTGGCTGGAACCCCATTTCTGTTAGAAGCTACATCCTCTACTTGGCCCTGCTTTAGAACTTCTCAGGTTAAGGTTAGACGTGCAGGCATCCTCTGATTGTCATGTTTCCTGAGTGTCTCTGTAGTCCTTACCTGGGGATGTTTGCCCAGAGAAGGATGATCCATGTCCTCCAGAAGTATGGATTCTGCCCAGCCCCCAGCCCAGGAGGCTGGCCCCTTTTGACTTTCTATTCTGCCCTCAGCCCTCTCACATCCAAACCTACTCCTCCTCCTCACCACGAGTTGATTCATTAATGTCTCAGAGATGAGAATCGCTCTAAGGAGGAACTGTGTGCCTCCTTTTTTTTTTTTTTTTTAAAAATGGCTAATTAACAGATGGGTCAGGAAGCTATTAAGATGCTGTAAACACAGTTGGTGAAGTCGGAGGTGCCTGTACGGGACTGGGAGTATGAAGGAAAGTGGGCAGGGAAGATGATGGGCAGAGGAGGATGCTAGGAGGAGCAGAACCTGTCTGTACATCCTAGGGAGAAGGGGAGGGTATTAGGAGGTAGCTCGTCTACAGAGTCCATCTCCCAACTCTTATTTCTAGCATAGGCCAGGGAAAAGTTTGCTTTGTTTTCTCTCCTTCTAGAAGTTGATTACAAACCAGGAGAGCTCTGTTTCCCTTCCAGGCCAACCCTGCTGTAGCAGGACAACTCCAGAGTTGAGTGAGTCAAGAACATGAGACAAACTGTCAAACACTCAATTTTTTTCTGCAGTAATGTGAGCTTCCCGTTATAATCTCAACCAAGTCAGCTTGTTTTTAACTCCAAATACAGACATTTGGAAGGAAAGGGGGAAAAATGAATCTTGCCCTGGGCTGAATTGAAGTGCTTTACCTTTTTCATGTTTTCCTTTCTCATTGAGTTTAAAAAGTAATGCACATTGGGAAAGCTGGGAAGTTACAGAAGCATTATGAAGGAGGGTTAGGGGCAGACTCCCAGGAAGGCAGGAAGAAGACAACAAAAAGTAAGAAAGCGATTGGACAAAAAGTTGATGGTTACCTCTTATGGAACAAAGCAACCCTGCAGAGACTCTTCCAGGCGTGATTCTGTTATGGTTCTTGGATGTACGTGGATACATTGCGTGTGAGCCTGGTTCACCTAGAGAAGGCAGAGAACAGTTCAAACTCCAAGTCACACTCCCTTGACACGCAGGCTAACTGGGTTCCTTCTTGCTTTAGCAATACAACCAGGAAAACACGGTCAACCACCTTGAGACCTTGGCACCCCTCTGGGGTCACTCTGTTCACTCTCTTCGTGTTTCTTTCCTGCACTGCCCCCAAGCTCAAAAGACTGGCACATCTGCCCCACTCCATCCTGTCTCAGAACACATTCATTTTGCGAAATCTGCTGTCAAGAAACCGAGAATTTACCCATAGATCTAGTCTGCTAAGGCACTTGTAGAAGACAAAGTATAATTCATTGTTTTCAACCGATTTGAATGAGAGATTTTAGTGACTGGCATGTTGGTTCAGATCAATTTGCAGAAAGCGATGGTTAAGATGTCTGAAAAGTGGGCTGACTGAAAGAGGTCAATTATCCCAGACAGCTATGCCTACAAGATCTGGAATAAAAAGGCAGTGGAGACCCAAAAGAACTTCCTCCGTCGCGTTCTGCTGACTGATTTCTCCAGGGCCTGACAGGATATTATTTAGGTCTTAATTTTCTACGTCCATCCCATAGCCAGGAGGGCCCCTAGCTCCTGCACATGGAGTTAGCTGTCAGCTCCTGGCTGTGACAGTGGCCAGCAGCTTCCTTCTTTGGTGTATCTGATGCTGTCTGCTCAAAGTTCTAAGCAGCTTATACTTGAAACTGTTGTAGACTCAAGTGTATTTTGCCTTCCAGTTTTTGTTACGTTCCTTGGTAATATCTATTTTGTGAAATTACAAAGTTACAATTTGACCTTGTGGCTGTGTAAGATGTCTCAG